AAGTGAAGGAATATGATGGAGTGCTTGCTGTGCTAACAAAAAAAAGATGGTATTATTTGAAGTGGAAAGAGTTAAGGGAGGAGGTATCACATAAAATAAGACTGTATTTTTATTAAGAAGAATGTTTAAATCAAGGCAGAAAGCAATGTCTTTTGAAGAATAGTTTTTCAATGTTCAGTAATTCCCTGAATGCTGAAATAAGACTAGTATGAAATAGGATAACAAATAATGAATTAGATAATTGTGATTTTACAGGCCTTTAAGATCAGTGTTTTGATTCCAGCTTTAGTTCTAAACTAACACTTCTTTATATGTTGGTGAATTGTCTTCGAGATATTTTCACTTTTCTGTTCATTAAATTAATGCTATAACTCAGGGGTCAACAAACTACAGCCCTTGGGCCAAATCCTGTTTCTTTTTTGTGGGTCCATGACCTAGGAATGATTTTTGCATTTTTAAATGGTAGGGGGGGAAGTCAAAAGAATATTTTATTGTAGCATGTGGAACATTATATGAAACTAAAATTTCAGTGTTCAGAAATAAAGTTTTATTGAAACACAGCCACACTCTTTCATTGTATGTAATCTGTGGTTGCTTTTGCACAACAGCAGAGTTGAATAATTGCAGCAGAGACCATATGGCACAGAAAGCCTAAACTGTGTAGTACTATCTCCCTGTTTGCCAAGACCTGCTGAAACTGGTTAGAGTGTCAAGATGACATTGACAAAGAGATTGTTATAAAAGAGGCTGTGTGAAATTATTTCACAAGTTGAGAAAAGGAAAGTTGCTTATTTTTTCTCGGGATGGTTACAGGTCATTCTGCATGGAAGCATGCACTGAAAAGAGTTGATCCCCTGAAATTTCCTACCTTTACATTTTTATTCTTCCTTTTTATATTATTTTTTCCAGCTGCTCTCTCTTCACATGCCAAACACACGCACCTGCACACTAAGTAAACTCACCATGAAATTACATTAAACCCTTCAAATATAGAACTGTCATATGGAGACAGTACAGATTATTAATTCCTCTTATCTGGGCAGGGGGTACCCTTACAGAGATTTAAAGATAAATTGAATTCTTGCTCTTTGAACTGTTTTAAAATGTGTTTTTAGAGTATTTTTGCTGCACACATTGCATTTTTCTGTTTATTACTTCCTTGTATCTAAGTAAAGATATTTCTTCTGAAAACCATGATTAACTTTTGATTTCTGCTAAATTTCTTAGTTGACCCCACATAAAATCATAAGTTCTATAGGAAATTTCATACAACTAGGAAAGACACTCTAATGTGATCAAGTAATACATCATGTCTTAATATAGCATTTAAAAATCCTTAAGTGTTTACATTGAATTAACCTGCTTTGATTGAGATGAGGAAAAAAAGCTGGACCATTAGTCCTTAGATGAATAATCTTTAAGTAGCTTTTAAATGAGTAAACATCAATTTGTTTATGTACTCTTTCTTTAAGCACATTTCAGTGTTTTTTGGTTCTTGTATGTAGAACATTGTTTGGGCCTCCTAAGTCTTCCTTCTTTGGCATTTACTCACATTAATAATAGGCATTTATTTACTATTTAATTTATAGCATGTAACATCCTGAGTATCTTGGTAGGTAATGTTTTATAATATGACCAGGTTACAGTAATGATAAAGATGGCAGTAAATAAATTTTAAGATTATCTCTTTAGAAAACAGGTTAATTTTGCTTTCGCTTTATTAGCATTTGCTTAACATGTAAAGTGAATTAATTCAATCCTGAAGTTTCAGTTCTACTGAAAAATAGCAAAAACCTTTCTTGTGCTTTGAACCATCTAATACTTGTAAAATTGCCTACAGTAGCCTAAGACATCACTTGGAGTGGAAGTGACACATCTGTGAGGGATTTAATGCTTATTATGGAATTGCCCTTCTCAGAATTGACTTTAATACAAAAATACGGTATTAACAAAAGATCTCCTTGACAAGTAAATTTCCCTAATAATTGAAAATGGAGCAGTGAGAAGGAAAAAAAAAGACAAGACTCAAACTATTTTGAAAGATAAAGTTTTTCAGTTTTATGGGTATAGTTATAGAAACAGAACAAACATGCTGAGGAAGGGTTTCTTAGAACTGGTATCCTGCTAAAGAAAATTAGATGTGTGTATGGCCGAAAGAAAGGTTAAATTTCTTAATATGTATAGAATTTATCATATTTTAGAAACTACCTCTTAGTAACTCATTAATTGGCAGTGATACATTTTATCATAAATCTTTGTGATGATAAATGTAAAGTTTTCTGAATATTAATTCACACAGTTCAGTTTTTGAGGATAGGAAAAAAAGACTTTATATATTCACTCATTCAACAAACCATTATTGAGTGCCTACTATTACATTCCACTGTGCTGGGTGCTGGAAATATACTAAAAGAACAAATCACATAATGACATTTCTGATTTCTCCACGGTGCCGTCTTCTTCTGTTCTTTATTTTCCCACCCTAACTTTGTATTTTGGAACTTCATAAAGAGTATGCAACTATAAAATACATACTTAAGTATTTAACTCACATGGCATTATGACACCATAATGAAAGAAGAAGCCACAATATTTAACATGGCATGTGACAACCTAGAAAGTAACAACAGGCAGAAAATTAGCAAGTCATTGTCATGAAAAAGTCACAAAAAAAATCAGTGAAACATTCTGATAAAAGATGGGTCTAACGAGTTTTGTGTTCAGGTTTTTAAATATCTTTTTGTTATTGCTATTGGCTTCTCTATTTATTTAGATTCAGTACTACAGAATGGATTCAGTAATGAGAATGGAATAGTAGGAAAAGGAAATCTGAATGAGAATACTGAGCTGTCTTTGACAGCTTCTTTAAAGAGTAATATGAAAATGTACAGTAGAGTCATTCTGTACATAGTCTCACATGTAGTCTGCTAACGTTATGACAGTTCGATCAGTGTGGTACTGCAGGAAAAAGTAATCAGTGTTCCACTCCCCTGTTAACCTTACCTGAGCATCTTCTCAGCAAGACCAAACCAGATTCTGACTGGGGTAGTCCTCTCTGTCATGGATGTTTTTTAAAGCCAGGTATTTTTTTTATCACAAGGTTCTCCTCAAATAGTATGAACCTTGAGATTTCAAGCTCAAGTGTCTGTTTTTAAGACTGATTTATTATCTGGCAAATTTGTTGGTGATGGAGCCTCCTAAACTTCTGAGACACTTACTGTGCTATAACTTCCTCTTTAACAGTGTTTTCTTTTCCCCACTGCAAAACCAGGCTCGGCTTCCCTCGTGCTCATCTACCTATAGTGTATCTGAGGTATACTTTGCACGTGTTTTCTTACATGGTCAACAACATGCTCGCCCTCACCATTCTTCTTCTTTTATTTTCCTTTTGCCTTAATTTATTTTGCCTTGCACTTCGCACTTGGCTGAAAGGGATGACGGTACCAAAGGGAAATAGTTAGCTGTTTTAAGGGGAAATTTGTATATTTTCATACAGTACTTTTTTCTGAGTAACTTTATTCTGGCAGTCACTGTATCATATTGAAATGGTTAAAGCCTAAACAGCCAACTTGATTGTTGCCACCTTAATTCCATAAAGATTCCTTTGAACTGGGTAATTTGTTATTAAACTGTTATTGGCTATGACAAAGATTCCAGTTTGCAGACTTGTATAGGTCTGTCTCTGGTAGCTGAAGATTTAGAATGAATTAGTAAAATTTTGTCCCATTAATCATAGAGGAAAGCATCCAAATTGATTATTAAATGAGAATTTCATATGATTCCCCTATTTTTATATAAAATAGAAGATTCACTCCTTTTAAAAAACTGATTAGGTTATTCAGGAAAGTAGTCTCCTTGATGCTTATATAAGGTTTGTACAATCTAGGGCTTCCCAGGTACCTCAGTGGTAATGAACCTGCCTGCCGGTGTGGAAGACTCAGAGATGCCGGTTTGACCCCTGGGTCGGGAAGGTCCTCTAGAGGAGGAAATGGCAATCCATTCCAGAATTCTTGCCTGGAGAATCCCATAAACAGAGGAGCCTGGCATGCCACAGTTCATGGTGTCACAGAGTCAGACACAACTGAGCACACACACACACAGCATCTTAAAATCTAGAAGAGCTTATCACTTGTGAGATCTGTGTTCTTTTAACAGAGTATTTTATGTGAACTTTGACCTATGTTCTTTGCCTTTTTAGAGATTTAATTTCTTACTCTTATTGTGTTAAACCATAGCATAAATAGGTTTTCTAGTTGTATAAGCCACAGTCACAGAAATTTTTAACAGACTTTGAATATCCTTTCAGCCCACTGTTCAAAGCAGGGGCACTGTTGAGTAGCTAAGAGAAAAGAGTATATGTACCTCAAAATATGATTAGTAAATAACAAGACTTTTAATAGCCTGTGAATTTTTAAGTTCTTAACTTTTTACTTTGCAGACATAACCTATTTCTACATGTATTTACTTTGTGCAGGCTATTATAGTTGGTATATGCAGGCCAGTATGTCAACTTAATTTCTGATTGCTGAAATATTATGTCTGAATGTCATACAAAAAACAGAAAGATGGCACTATCTAAAATACCAGGTAATGTATACAGACCACAAGCAGAAAATCATCCTTTGACTTTAAAACTTTATAAATAGCCTTGCAAAGAATGACACTGCTAAACCCGTAGCTTCACAAAGATTAATTTATTGAGTCAGAAGAATTACAGCCATCTTCTTTAATATTTTCCTTTGCAAGTTGCAGCTGTTACAGATTTTTTTTTCCTTCTTAACACTGATTTTTGGAGAATTGATTTTTTCTTAAAATGTGTATTTGTAGAGAGAAACAAAGTAATGAAAAGAAAATGAATTACTTATGATATTAGTAAAGACTTTTAAAAGAGAGGATTGGTACCATCTCATCACCACATTTCCCATAAGTCTTAATCCCCCAGGATTATGATTCCTAGTGTAAAAAATATATAACCCATTTCTTTCTGCCACTTCATCCAGGCAATTCTCCATTTCCCATGAGAGTATTTAAGAAGTCTACCATTGGCATCATCTCCAGTCACAGCCTACAGCATCCATCAGGGTATCACTTTCTCTGTGACAGCATGTGTGCAGCAGGGCTCTCAGGTTGGAATGCACAACTGGTTTCTGGGGGGATGGGATTGTGTATGCTGTGGCCTTTGCTCCATAGCACTCCGCTCTCAAATGAGTTCTGGCTTCACTTGGGTTTGTTTTGTTTTCATTATGACACATGAGATTTATTTACTTGTCATGAAGTGTGTTTCTCCTTCTGTCATTTGTGGCAGGGTTTCTACATTTCTATACTCAGTGCCCCATCTCTGTGGACTCCATAGGTGGTTTTATGTTTCTCTTACTCATGTGACAGCCTGATTAATGTTCATCTCCTTATCTCATCTCAATCTTCACTACGGTTCTGTTTGGAGAAGATATTATTGTCACCTCATTTTGCAGATAAGGAAACTGAGGCTCAAAGAGGTTAAATATCTTGCCCAAAGTCATAAAAGCTGCCAGATGAGTAGCAGAATATTGTTTTGTCTTAAATACAGTGCTTTTCACTTTTCAGGATTATTAAAAATCATCAACTCTCTGAATGGCATGCAGTAGTCTTGTGTTTTCACAGTATATATTTACTTGGTTCAGGTTGATTATGTAGTTTTGGATTTTGTCTTATCAGAAGATACAGGTGTATCTATACAATACAAAACTTGAGTTTAAGGAAGTATTAGAAAGCCATTCCTTTCTGTAATTTACTATTTTTCTTGTATTTATTCATTTAATAAATATTTGTTGAGCACCTACTATACTCTGCTTAAATACAATCTTCTAGCTATTTCTTAATCTTTGAAATTGACTTGACACTTAAAATGCATAAATATTATGAATGTAATGAGATCGGTGGCTTCAGTTGCACACTATTTTTCACCCCCTTAAGTCAAGTTAAAAAAAGGGGAGACGGAGCAGGGGGAACTCACCTCCAGATTTCTAACTAACATTCAGTTTTGTTTCTGCAATGTTCATTTTTTAAAAATCCTTTGGAAAAAAGTGCTTTAGAATTCCCTTAGCTTAAACCAAAGCCAGAATTAGTACTATTTCTTGGTAGAAGTGGTGTTCTTTCTGACTTACTTGGAAAATTGAAGTATATACTAGATATAACTCTTTCATGATTTGTAACAGTATCTAAACCCCCGCCCAAAAAATTGAACCCTGTAAAATCTTATTTTTAATGTCTTAGATTTCCCAGTAGCGAGATTCATTTAGATAATTTGAGATTTTGAAGCTAAATTGATTTTTCCTGTTGAGTGGACAGAGACTGAAGCTTAATTAATTGTTTTTACTTAATGCTTAAGAACTTTTAGGGAACTTCCCTGGTGGTCCAGTGGTTAAGACTCCACACTGCCACTGCAGGAGGCACCAGTTCAATACCATCCTTAGGGAAGTAAGATCTCACACACTGTGCAGCAAAAAAAGAACCTACCTAAAGAAAAGGTGACATTTTTAAGTTGTAACCTGCTAATATGCAAAACAGTTGCTGTTGGACCTCTTAACCCACTATTAGCATACCAATTCTGATCTAAACAAGTCTTGATTGACAGTTTGGAGTTCTTTTGGACAGTGAAGCTCCGTATACTTCTGGATCAATCTCACAGTCAACCATATTTATTATTATGATGGTCACCATCCATCATCATTATTATTACTTCTATATTTTTCCAGTAGTCATGTGTGGATGTGAGAGTTGGATATAAAGAAAGCTGAGTGCTGAAGAATTGATGCTTTTGAACTGTGGTGTTGGAGAAGACTCTTGAGAGTCCCTTGGACTGCAAGGAGATCAAACCAGTCCATCCTAAAGGAGATCAGTCCTGAATATTCATTGGAAGGACTGATGTTGAAGCTGAAACTCCAATACTTTGGCCACCTGATGCGAAGAGCTGACTTATTTGAAAAGACCCTGATGCTGGGACAGATTGAAGGCGGGAGGAGAAGGGGACGACAGAAGATGAGATGGTTGGATGGAACCTCAGTGGACATGAGTTTGAGTAAACTCTGGGAGTTGATGATGGACAGGGAGGCCTGGTGTGCTGCAGTCCATGGGGTCACAGAGAGTCGGACACAACTGAGTGACTGAACTGACTGCCTGATGATAGAGCATTTACTTTGGTCAGGGATCATTCTAGGAGCTTCATGTATGTTACCATTACATCACTATATAGTAACTGTCTTGGCACCAACTCCTGTTTACAGACCACATCTCTCTCCAGAGTTATAAGCACCTTATATATAACTCAGCCCCCAAATCCATACCTTTACCCACTAATCCAATATATGACACTACCCAATCACTCAAAGTCTAGAAACCTGGGAGTTATATCCCTTATAACCAATCAGATCTAAGTCTTACAGATTCTGCCTCTTTTGTTTCTTTAGAATCTATGCCCCTTCTCTCCAAAGCCACTTTCAATTACTTAGTTGGATTTTTTAATCTGAATTATTAGATCACTATCCAGACTAGTTCCTCTACCCTCATAATTTATTCCACAAATATCACTAATCCATCTATGCACACATAACAGAATGAACTTTTAAAAATGTTAATGTAATAATGTTATTCCACTACTTGAAATCTTTCAATGGCTCTCCATAACCCTTAGGAGGGCTTCCCTGGTGGCCCAGATGGTAAAAAAAAAAAAATCTGCCTACAGTGCAGTAGACCTGGGTCCAATCCCTGGGTTAGGAAGATCCCTGGGAGAAGGAAATGGCCCCCCCCTCCAGTACTCTTGCCTGGAGAATCCCATGCACCGGGGAGCCTGGTGGGCTACAGTCCGTGGTGTCCCAAAGAATACAACACGACTGAGGGAGTAACACTTGCAACCTTTATGACCTGGTCTCTGTCTACCTGGTCAGCTACTCCTCTTACCACTCCCTGTTATTTAAAATTAGTTCAGCCATGCTTTCTGCCATTCCCTAGTTGACAGGATCCCTCGCATCTATGAATTATGCTGAACTTTTTCTCTGACTTCCTGTCTTTTCTTCACCCAAATTATAATTGTCCCTTAAAACTGTGTTCTTACATCCCAGCTCATAGAAATCATTCCTGATAACCTTCCCCTATCTCCCACCCCCAACTGAGTTAGGAGAATCTATTACATATCCCCATAGCAGTTTGTACTAAATTCTGTTATAATACTTATCATGATGTATTGTAACTGTAAGTTTTACTTTGTGAATTCCTAGAGACCAGAGGCTGCTTTATTTTTAACCTTTCATTCACAGGCTAGATTAGTTTGGGGCAAACAGTAAATAATAAATGTAGGTTGAATGAATGACATTAATTATGCCCTAATTGCTATATCTATAATAGTATTCACTTTGTTATTAGATTATTAAACTCAGTTGGGTAAAGACATTGATTTACCTTCTTTATCTAGCACACAATAAGCATTTAATAAACACATGTTAACCAACTCATGAATTACATCCCAGTATCGAGTATCTCATTATATATGTATCAGATGTTCCTAAGATTTGTATGCATTTTTCTAATTCCCTGAAGCATATATTAATCTAGGTCAATGCTTTTAAACTATTTTAATTCTATACTGCCTGAATGTTCCTACAGTTTACGCTAATATTTCATTTTTAAATAAATCATAGGGGTTGCTGGCACAGTTTTTCTTCAGTGTAGGCTCAAACAATATCAAACAATCATCTCCATCTCTAAACTTCAGTTCCTTGTTGACCTTGAATGTAGGAGGAGGAAAGAGTCTCATAAGCTGTACATTTGACTTTCTTGCCCTGCTGTTGAAGCTCGAAGTTTACATAGAGCAATGCAGCTTTGTTCTCTGTGACCCCAATCAGTCTCCTTGACATCCTGTTTGAAAAACACTGAGAACTAAAAGTCTGTGAAAAATCACACTGTTATAAATTCAGATGGGAATCAGTTTTGGTCCACACACACACACACACACACAAAATAGAAAGCTGAGGTTTATTGTTAAGTCAGTAAGTATTTCTTTTTTTTTTCCCATTTATTTTTATTCATTGGAGGCTAATTACTTTACAGTATTGTAGTGGTTTTTGCCATACATTGACATGAATCAGCCATGGATTTACATGTGTTCCCCATCCCGATCCCCCCTCCCACCTCCCTCCCCATCCCATCCCTCTGGGTCTTCCCAGTGCACCAGCCCTGAGCATCTGTCTCATGCATCCAACTTGGGCTGGTGATGTGTTAAGTCAGTAAGTATTTCTTAGTTAACTTTCAACAAAATTGTAGTCACAATCTAATGTTGTTGATTGATAAATAAGTTGTATTCAGGCCTCTGATTAAAGCTTCTTCATCTGTTACCAAGACACAAAGGAAATATGGGCAGGCAATTTAACTCGAAAGGAAGCTCAAAATCTAAATTTCCAATAACTTTTTTTACTCTGTATCCGATATTGAGGGAAATTGACATCAAAATGATTTTTACTGCTCTTTTCCTTCATGTGTCCTTATGTACCACAGGGCAGCATTGCATCTCCATTTTTCCTTTTCTTTATTAACCCAATTGTCTGTTCTGCATAGGAGATAATACCAATGAATGCTTGCACCACTTCTTGTACATTACAGAGATTTAATGAATATTAAACAGTTCATGGCCATACTATGATGTGGTTCAGAGCTTTATACACATTTGGTTTACTACCAATCCTAGTCTAATTTTTAAAGGTTCAGATAAATATCTTCTTGACTACTAGCAATGTCAATTTTCTTTTACACATTTACAAAAATGTGCATTTGGATAAAATGGAATATATAGCCTGGACTTGAGGATGAATAGAATTATCAGTTATTTCTAGTCACCTTATTTTTCCCCTTTGAAAAGCATATCCTTTCTCAACCAAAGTTCCTCATCTAAACCAGTGCAAGAAGTGGTTTGGCCATTTTCCCAAGCTATTGCGAAGATGGTGCTCTTCTCAATTCGTAAAAGAGATGTTAATTCATTATATACAATGGGTGTACAGTATATTAGGGCTTAATTCTCTGTCAGAATTGAAAAAGATACAGTAATTCTTTCTTTCATTCTTAAGTATTTCAGTGCTTCTCAAGAAGCACCATTTGTTATTTAAAGCTGTACTTAAAATTTCTTCTTTGGGAATTTTCCCTATTGCCTTATTTTTTGAATACTGAAATCTCTATATAGCCTTATGTTTACCATGTAAACTTAAGAGCTGAGAGTATGAGGCACATTTTTATCATAAAACATGTTTTTTTTTGAAATAGACTTTTCATTTTTCTGAAAGAATCAAGAGCTTTAACCAGCTTCTTAACATATTCCAAGGATGGTCATGCTTTGGCGGAAATTAATCTTTTACTGGTTGTCTCACAGTGCTTAAAGTTGAGCTAAAAAGTGAGATTGGGCTAGATTTGAGTCCCAGCCCTAGATGTGAATCACAGTCCTAGATTTGAAACCCTGTGCTGCCTCTTACTAGCTTTGTAATCTTAAGCACTCGATCATTAAGTTAGCTTATCTGTACTTCATATTTTTATAAAATGGGAATGATATCACCTTAAAGATTGAATTGGTTAAGGCTGCTTGGTGCAGTGCACGATATGCATAAGTACTCAGTAAATATAAATTTTATTATTATCAGTACTGATTATCATACTAAAGGCCCAAACATAAAGTTATTTTAGTTTGAACTAACTCTGCCAAACATATGCTACATTTGTCACAGAGTAAAATGTGTCTTCTTCTGTTATGGTTATTAGCTACAATCTGACTGAAAAATCAAGTATTATTAGCTTCGCTATCAATTTGATGCAAGTTAATGTCAA